ACGACACAGGACACAGGATGCAAGGGAGCACTGTGTTTCTGCTCTCACTACCTGGTATTATCTAATTTAGCCCATGGAGCAGATTCTTGACCAGTGAATCTAAAATGTCACCGAATTTAAGTCATAAAGGAGAGTAAAGAAATTCTTGTACTAGATACATAAGGACTCCTGTTTACCTAATTAGAGCAATGATTATACAATTGACATTTATGTTTCCCTAAGTGTTTGCTCTATACACTGGAATGGTTTAAGAAAAGTATTATCTAATTTTGATTTGTTTTACACTTTCAAAGGAGATAGAAGGAACAGAGGGAAAAACGTGTGACTACCTGCTCCATTTTGAGGCTGGGCAGGTACAAAACCAAACTCTGGATACTCCAGGTCCATCTATATTTTTGGGCAAGACTAATGGAGCACATACACCCCAACCCCTACAGAAAGAATCCTATATCTACCCTACCCCAGAGCTCTAGCTAAAGCATGTTTCAAACTACAGAGGGTTTCAACTTAACATCTAAACTGTAAAATGTGGTATTTTGACAACAAACAAACTCAAAGAGCTCATCTCGGATACAGAACTATTATTGTTCAGATGCCTGAAAAGTCATGCTGCTACTCTCAGCTTCCGCCACTCTCAGGCTCAGGCAGACACATAAGGTGGTGGTGGCTCCTTGGCAGTACCGGTCACAGCGGTGGCATCGTCATACGGAGGCAACAGCACCTGAGAAGGAAGGGGATTAGACAAGAGTCACTATTTAAAAGTGGACCTACATCCCCCTACTCTGAAGCTTAACTTTCATTCAACTCTTATGCAATCACACTGTTCCAGTACCAATTCAATTTTCCATTAATTGGATACATTTTAATGATCAATGTGTGTGTGTGTATATGTATGTATGTATGAAAATAAAACAATGAAACCTGTTAAAACTGCTCTAAGAAGGGGGAGAGACAAAATCAGGGAGAATGATGGAGGGGTGAGTCTAATTAAGATACACTGTAAGGTGCTAGAGGTGTGGCTCAAACAGTATAGCACCTGCCTAGCAAGTGTGAATCTCTGAGTTCAAACCCTAGTACTGCACAAAAAAAAAAAGTATTGTAAGCATATATTTACAATGAAAACTGAAAACTCCCTATACAACTAAGATATGCTAATAAAACGTGAGAAAAAGAGTATTAACAGACAAAACCATACTTTGTTATGTTTTCTCTTACAGACATCATTTAGTGGGCTGGTGGTGTGGCTCAAGTGGTAGAGTTTGCCTAGCAAACTAGTGAGGCCCTGAGTTCAACCCCAGTACCAAGAGGGGAAAAAAAAAAAGATTTAAAGTGGTAAATATTCATCCATTTATCTGTCCCTTAAGCTCCTACAGGAACACTAAAAAATTTTTTTTAATTTCCTCTCCCACCTCAATCGCCAACCCTTGCACACACACACATACCAAACCCTGCCCCTTTTCTAACTCAATGCACTTCACTATTTACTTTTCTCTGCTCTTGAAGCTCACATAGGGCTTCAGCTGGCTTGTTTCAAGGGTGGGCCTAGCACCTGTTTCACAAGAGAACTCAGGAATAAATGGCTTCAGCATTATGCTCTACGATCTCATTAAACAATTACCGGGACAGGAGTGGGTGGCTCACGCTTGTAATCCCAGCTACTCTGGAGGCAGAGATTGTGGTTTGAGGACAGCCCAGGCAAAAAGTTAGGAAGATTCATGTCAACCAACAAGCTGGGCATAATGGTGTACACTTGTCAACCCAGGTACACTGCTGGCAGTAGGATCATGGTCCCAGCCAGGCCAGGCAAATACTGGAGGCCCTATCTGAAAACTAACTACAGCAAACAAGCTGGAAGCATGGGTCAAGTGGAGAGCACCTGCCTGAGTTCAAGCCCTAGTACTGCCAAAAAAAAAAAAACTGATTCATATCATTATTTTTTGAGGAATTATCTTAAAACACAATGGAGCCACTTAAAAAAAAGTGAAATCAGCCACTGCATCAACCTTTTTTTTTTCTTTTCCAGAGAAAAATGCTACACTTAAGCCAAATTCTCTAAAATGTTCACAGAAGACTAAATACAAAATTTTCTTTAAGAAAAAAAAAACTGCTGCGAATTTGAGTTCTATTTGTCATAGAGTTTAGTAATCTGTTCCTACTTCTTGCTATTTATCTTCAAGCTTGTGTTAAAGTTTCACTGTATTTTTAACATGATGATAGTCCTTTCTCTGAAAATACTCTATTGCCTTCAACCTGTGATCCAAAGTCAAGGTGTCTGGAGAAGAGTTTCTCCTTTCCCTGAAGCTGTTGACCACCTGTTTGTTTTCTCCCTTCCATCACCACATACTACACGATAACTAAATATCCTTACATGACACCTCTTGTTATCCGACTACTTTCAAAAGTTCTCCAGATAGAAATGATTTGAAATTCTTGCAGGAACAGCATCATTTCCTCATGATGCTGAAACTAGTGCTGCATGAAGGAAAGGTTGGAAAATAAGGATTGCCATTCTGATCCCATATAGTCTGTTAACACTGACAGCACTTAAGGGTCAATGAAGCACTTGGACATCTGAGAAAATAATTCTAAGGTCAATTAATGTAAAAGATGCCAACTAAGGTATCACAAACAAAACTAGTGAAAACTCAATTGCTCTGACATTTTTTTTAGAAGCTGATGTTTAAATGATTTTTAAAAATTTAGTCATTCACAATGAATGACCACCCCCCACCCCCCAAAATCTCTAAGGACTAAGAACACATCTTACTTTAACCTAAAATCACTGCTGGCAAGCAGCAGCTTTGAGCAGGTATATGCAAAAGCTGTGCTCACATCACAACCACAACCACAACCAGAGAGTGCTTCATTCCAGGCAGCATTCAATACAACCAGATTTCAATCTAAGTACGAGGTTGGGAGGCTGTCTCAGCAGAGCTCAGCTCTAGAGTGAGCTGACAGTGTGACTCTGACACAGATGGAAAAAGCTGTGGATAGAAGGTGTCTGGGGGTTCATTAGATGGTTACCATCTATCCCTATAGAATGTCCCTTCTGCTGAGTAGCCATAGTAGGTCAACAGCAGGCTGGTGGAAAAAAGCTGATTACTTACTGGGCACTGGTGGCTGATACCTATAATCCTAGCTACTTGGGAGGCAGAGATGAGGAGGATTGCAGTTGAAGCCAGCCCAGGGCAAATACTGTGGAAACCCTATCTCAAAAAAACCCATCACAAAGAAAGGGCTGGCGGAGTGGTAGAGCACCTGCTTAGCAAGCATGAGGGCCTGAGTTCAAACACCAGTACCGCCAAGAAAAAAAAATAAGAGGATTATTCATCTCAATTCAACTCAACGCACATTCAGAGGCTACCAGAGCAAGCTTCGTTATTCTTTGCTGCATTAGCATACAGAACATTTGAGGGCACAGTAAATTAATAATAAAGTTTGCAAAATCTAACATTCTGGAATAGAGGTGATTCCAATTCGGTACAAATTCACAAGTCATTAAATCTTGGGAAACTAATTCACTTCATCAAATAAGAAACAATAAAATGCTCAAAGTAATGAACTACATCCATGCTCCACTCAACAACAGGGTTATGTTCCAAGAAACATGTCATCAGGTAATTTCATCCCATATGAACATCACAGTAAATATATACACAAAGATGGCTACACCACCACTAGGCAATGTAATATAGGACCCCCATTATGTATGCAGTTTGTTGCAGACTGAAACACTTGCTATGCAGAGCAGGATGTACTGGTAAAAAAATGGGGAATGTTTAGGTACTGGGGTTAAACTGGAACTTTCACTAAAGACTTATTTGGAATTCTACAGATGCTAGGATTATATTCCCAAAAGTATTGTATATAAGTTACACAAATTTCTTCAGACACTCACCAAAACATATCACAGAATATTAAAAAAGATATGCTTATGATAGTGGTGGATTTGCTTATGAGTTTCTACAGGACCCTGGGGAATAAGTAGGCCCCTCTGACCTGACTTGCCAGAGTGAAGGGCAGCAGAGACTGAACACGGGCATTAACCTCATAGGAAGCCCCTTAGTCCTGTGAATCCCCATCTCCACATTAAAACATAGTCCAGGGAAACTAGAGATCCAGAGTGCCATGATGTGCCCTCAATGTGTGCAATGGAAAAATGAACAATCTTACTCAATACCTCATCCTTTGTGGGCTTCATGCAGCCCAATGTCTGGTTCAATCTCACTTATTTCCATGACTCCCAAGCATAGCATGGAAAAGCACATACCAAGTGACTATTTTTCCCTGAGATTTTTATCTCCTGGCATGTCTTTCTTTCTTATGTTACTTCAGATGGAGCCTACATAGCCCAAGGCACAAGTTAAACTAACTTCCAACATGGAGATCTGAAATATTTCAGTTTTAGTTTCTACTCCTCATAGTAGTTATAGATACTATGTAATTACAGTATATTACGTTAGCTACTGAAATAAAAAGTGGTAGCACATGCCTGTAATCCAGCACTTGGGAGGCTGAGGCAGGAGAACTGTGAGTTTGAGGCCAGCCTGGGATATACAGTGAGACCCTCTCAAAAAGAAATATTGTAATGATACATTTTATATTCTCTAAAGATAGTATAAAGTCAAAACAACAGAGACAATGGCAATAATGAAAGAATGGCTCTTGGAGCTCAGACACTATATTGCTCTCTAGAAACACAAATTACTTAATAATTAAATTATATACTATCATATGCTATTAATGTATTATATATACATTTACCTTTTCCTTCTCCAAAAAGCTTCTAAAAGGCGTGTTTTATAGTTTGTTAATTTCTCAGCACTGGTTCTTAAGAGGTGTGTTCAAATTGCCTACAAAGGATTCATGATCCATGAATTCTGGCAATGTGAGATAGTACCATACACTGGACACTGAGCATATACAGCCTTCTAGAGAGCTCTGCTCTAGCCCTTCAAAGTATCGTCACCAAGATGGCACTCTACTTGCATCCTCAAAAGGCCATTCCACCATCTCCTAAGCCAGTTTCAGGATGGTGGGACACACAGTAAGACTAGTGAATTCCATGACGACAGGCCCAATGCCCTACCTTATCTGCTGTGAAGTGAGTTCCTTGGCACTCACAGCACTCTATCGAATACCATGATGGTAGATAAATCATTCAGTAAATCCATGGATACTAGTTTTGGTGGATGCACTGTATGCAGGGAAGGCAAGTGCATACCTAGAGTAAGTGTCTGAACTAACAACCTATTTGGCATGGACCACTCTCAAGAATCCTGAAATCCTTTCTGCTATGGACTAAAGTCCACAAAGAAAATGCCCCAAACTCGTGTGAAGAAACACAGTGACTCATTTGGAAATGGCCAGCTCCTGGCTCCTTTTCTCACATTCATCTCCCTCAATCAGATTTCTCAGTCCACTATCTCCATCCCTTTCTTCCTTTGCCCAATCAAAACCAAAGTAACTGAATGTCAAGAAGGCAGACAAAAGAGACTCCACTCTTCCGACAGGCTATATACATCTATGAGAGGTGTGAGCACAGAATTACTGTAAAACCAAAATGATATTTCTTCCAGTCATTTGTCTCTTAATGATAGATAATTGAGCACCTATCCAAGGCCAGGCATGGACTAGGTGCCAAGGAGGATGAAAGACAACTGACTCAACTGGAGGAAGATGCATGCCCTACATTAATACAGCAGTGCTCACCGCAGGAGG